AAAAAAATTGTTTTTTTTTTTTTTTTTTGGGGGGGGGGGGGTTTACACGCTATTTCTCTATCCCCCACTCTCTCTTCTCTCTCTCCCTTCCTTCTTATTGAGAGTGAATTCGAACAGTGGCGTACCTTGAGACCGGCCAGGTAATCCATTCCCTTAGCAATCTGCCAGGCGAAGGACAGCAGGTCTCGGAATGTCAGAGTGCGCGTGCTGTCGTGGTCCGTGCCGATGGCGTCATTTCCGCACCGCTGTTTGTCCTCCCAGCTCCTGCCTCTGTTCCTCAGTTTGGCGCCGCGGAGGAAACTCCGGAGTGATCCCAGTTCACAATACTCCACTATGACGTACAGGGGTCCTGAAAATAAATATATAGGTGGTTATTGTTTTAATGACTTTTTATGTTTAAAAAAAAAAAAAACATTTTCCTACAGCCTCTACCTGGGAGACAGTAGGATTCAAAGAACGACACTGGCGTAGAAGAGGGGGGTACGAGGCGGCGGTCAAAATTGGGCGGTACTTTTTTCTATCTTTTTGGTAAAAACATTTTCCTACAGCCTCTACCTGGGAGACAGTAGGATTCAAAGAACGACACTGGCGTAGAAGAGGGGGGTACGAGGCGGCGGTCAAAATTGGGCGGTACTTTTTTCTATCTTTTTTGAGGGGGTGGGGGGGGGGTGGCATTTTTGGCCAAGTAACGAGATGTTGCTTTTGGGTAGAAAGAAAAAAAAATATGGGATCACTTCGGGCCGCGCTGACTCTTGCTGCTACGGCTACGCCACTGTAAATCGAATGCACTATCTCAGCTCCGCCACTGTAAATCGAATGCACTATCTCAGCTCCGCCACTGTAAATCGAATGCACTATCTCAGCTCCGCCACTGTAAATCGAATGCACTATCTCAGCTCCGCCACTGTAAATTGAATGCACTATCTCGGCTACGCCACTGTAAATTGAATGCACTATCTCAGCTCCGCCACTGTAAATCGAATGCACTATTTCAGCTACGCCACTGGAAATAGAATACACTATCTGGCAAGATTGATAGAACTCATTTAACGTCGTCTAGGGACTTTTCAAGATGGTCGAGGTACTTTTTTGGTAAAAATTTAGAAATATTGCACAAGGTCAAGGTTCAAAACAAATTTGACATGTGGGACGGGTTAGGTGGGGCTAATGCCATGTGCAGACGAGGTGGGCGGGACTAGTTACATGGGCGGAGCGAGTGACATGGGCGACGGGGTGGGCGGGGCTAGTGATATGGGCGACTGGGTGGGCGGGGCTAGTGATATGGGCGGCGGGGTGGGCGGGGCTAGTGATATGTGGTTTTGGGGTGGGCGTGGCTAGCGACATGAGCAACGGGGTGGGCGGGGCTAGTGACACGGGGGGACCGTGTGGACGGGGCTAGTGACATGTGCGAAGGGATGGGCGGGGCTAGCACATATTAAATTGTACTTTTTACTATGCTTCTCTGGCTTTTTTAAAAAAAAAAAAAATTATTATTATTATTATTATTATTTTGTTTTGTTAGAATGCATGAGAATTTTAAAAAATGCTGAGCCAGAGCGAAGATCTGAGCAGGAGCGAGTTTAAAAAAAAAAAATAATATCTAAAAAGAATAATAAAAGCCGGACGTGACGTCATAGATTTATTTCCTGAGGGGATTGGGGATTGGGAATGCTAAATGGGGAGTAGGATTTCAAAGGGAAATAAGCAAGTGGGGGCGTTATGTTGGGTTTAAAATATATGGGAGAAATGTGTCGTTTAAAATGTGAGTGTGTGTGAGTGTGTGTGAGTGTGTGTGAGTGTGTGAGTGTGTGTGAGTGTCTGAGTGTGTGTGAGTGAGCGCGTGAGTGTGTGTGTGTGAGAGGGAGACAGAGAGACGAGAAAGAGACAGGAGAGAAAGATATATAAAAAGAGAGAAAAAGAGAGAATGAGACAGAGAGTGAGTGAGAGAGAGAGAGAGAGAGAAAGAGAGAGAAAGAGAGAGAGAGAGAGAGAAATAAAAAGGTCAATGTAATTGAGGCAGTCAGTATATGTCTTGCAAAGAGAGGTCTAATCCTTTACGTTAGATATGCTTTGAAAAGGTTGAAACCAATTTATTTTCGATGTGGAAACAACAACACCAGCAACAAGCCACACTTGACGTCTGGCTGACTTCTCTAAGGGAGATTTTGTTGGACTACCAGAGATGAGTTTCGAGATGTGTCCTCAGGTGGATGGTGAAGCTTACTGGGGACGGACGGCGTTTGATTTCAAAGGGGAGTTTTAGAGTGTTTCTTACCTTTGTCAATGGTGAGGCAAAGAGACACTTTAAGACCGACACTTTGAGACCGACACTTTGAGACCGACACTTTGAGACATACACTTTGAGACATTCACTTTGAGATCGACACTTTGAGACAGACAGTTTGAGACAGACACTTTGAGATCGACACTTTGAGACCGACACTTTGAGACAGACCGTTTGAGACAGACAGTTTGAGACCAACATACAGTTGGAGACCAACATACAGTTGGAGACAGATAGTTTGAGACCAACAGACAAATTGAGACCGACAGTTAGAGACCAACAGACAGTTTGAGACAGACAGTTTGAGACCAACATACAGTTTGAGACAGATAGTTTGAGACAAACAGACAGTTTGAGACTAACAGACAGTTTGATATCAACATACAGTTTGAGACATATATTTTGAGACCAACAGACAGTTTGAGAACAACAGACAGATTGAGACCGAAATTTAGAGACAACAGACAGTTTGAGACCGACAGTTTGTGACCAACAGACAGTTTGAGACCGACAGTTTAAGACCATCAGACAGTTTGAGACCGATAATTTGAGTCTAACGGACAGTTTGAGACCAACAGACAGATTGAGACCGACAGTTAGACACCAACAGACAGTTTGAGACAGACAGCTTGAGACCAACTAATCAGCATGTGTGACAAGTTTGAGACAGACAGTTTGAGTCTAACAGACAGTTTGAGACCAACAGTCAGTTTGAGTCCGACAGTTTGAGACCAACAGACATTTTGAGACCAACAGAGAGTTTGAGACTAGACCACTAACAGTGACCCATGTCTATATAAGAAAACAGACTAGACCCTCATCAGTGACCCATATCTCTCTATAAGACAGAATAGACCACTAACAGTGATCCATGTCTCTATATAAGAAGACAGACTAGACCACTAACAGTGATCCATGTCTCTCTATAAGAAGACAGACTAGACCACTAACAGTGACCCATGTCTCTCTACAAGAAGACAGACTAGACCACTAACAGTGATCCATGTCTCTCTACAAGAAGACAGACTAGAGCACAGCAATGACCCATGTCTCTCTATAAGACAGAATAGACCACTAACAGTGACTCATGCCCATCTATAAGAAGACAACCTAGACCACTAACAATGACCCATGTCTCTCTATAAGAAGACCACTAACAGTGTCCGATGTCTCTCTATACGAAGATAGACTAGACCACTAAGAATGACCCATGTCTCTCTACAAGAAGACATACTAGACAGCTAACAGTGACCCATGTCTCTCTACAAGAAGACAGACTAGACCACTGACAGTGACCCATGTCTCTCTACAAGAAGACAGACTAGACCACTAACAGTGACACATGTCTCTCTACAAGAAGACAGACTAGACCAATAACAGTGACCCATGTCTCTCTACAAGAACACAGACTAGACCACTAACAGTGACCCATGTCTCTCTATAAGAAGACAGACTAGACCACTAACAGTGACCCATGTCTCTCTACAAGAAGACAGACTAGACCACTAACAGTGACCGATGTCTCTCTACAAGAACACAGACTAGACCACTAACACTGATCCATGTCTCTCTACAAGAAGACAGACTAGACCACTAACAGTGACCCATGTCTCTCTACAAGAAGACAGACTAGACCACTAACAGTGACCCATGTCTCTCTACAAGAAGACAGACTAGACCACTAACAGTGACACATGTCTCTCTACAAGAAGACAGACTAGACCACTAACAGTGACCGATGTCTCTCTACAAGAACACAGACTAGACCACTAACAGTGATCCATGTCTCTCTATAAGAAGACAGACTAGACCACTAACAGTGACCCATGTCTCTCTACAAGAAGACAGACTAGACCACTAACAGTGACACATGTCTCTCTACAAGAAGACAGACTAGACCACTAACAGTGACCCATGTCTCTCTATAAGAAGACAGACTAGAACACTAACAGTGACCCATGTCTCTCTATAAGAAGACAAACTAGACCCCTAGCAGTGATCCATGTCTCTCTATAAGAAGACAGACTAGACCCCTAGCAGTGACCCATGTCTCTCTATAAGAAGACAAACTAGACCCCTAGCAGTGATCCATGTCTCTCTATAAGAAGACAAACTAGACCACTAACAGTGACCGATGTCTCTCTATAAGAAGACAGACTAGACCACTAACAGTGACCGATGTCTCTCTATAAGAAGACAAACTAGACCACTAACAGTGACCCATGTCTCTCTATAAGAAGACAAACTAGACCACTAACAGTGACCGATGTCTCTCTATAAGAAGACAGACTAGACCACTAACAGTGACCGATGTCTCCCTATAAGAAGACAAACTAGACCCCTAGCAGTGACCCATGTCTCTCTATAAGAAGACAAACTAGACCCCTAGCAGTGATCCATGTCTCTCTATAAGAAGACAAACTAGACCCCTAGCAGTGATCCATGTCTCTCTATAAGAAGACAAACTAGACCCCTAGCAGTGATCCATGTCTCTCTATAAGAAGACAGACTAGACCCCTAGCAGTGACCCATGTCTCTCTATAAGAAGACAAACTAGACCCCTAGCAGTGACCCATGTCTCTCTATAAGAAGACGCCACCGATCTAATTCCCAAAACAAATTGAAAACGATCAATTTCTCTTGAGTTGACACGTGCGGTCTATGGTGTGTCGTTGACTGGTGCGGTCTATATCTTGTGGTCCTAGGGGCCACCACTGCGGGCATCCATAAAATATAAGCCGCGGCTTTGAACCACCATCAGTAGGAGTACAGCCCAAAACTCTAACATTGTTCTAGTAACAATAGCGGCTCAAGGCAGTTTCATTAAGGATGAGATCAAATCTTAGTTTGGATGGCAGCACAGGACGGTTAGGGTGAGGATTATATAAGAGTGGTTATGCTAAGGCAGCGTTTCCCAAACTTTTAAGTTTCACGGACCGGTGGACAAGTTTCGAAACTGCACCAGGGACCGGTGCCAGATTTATTAATTACATTTTCTTTCTATTTAAACATCAACATTCATGCTCTCTGGACAGGTAACGTAAGGCTTGCGGACCGGTGCCGGTCCACGGGCCACCCTTTTGGAACGCTGTGCTAAGGCATACCTCACGAGATAGTTGCAGTCATGAAATGACATCATACCATTTTTTATAAAAATGAAAGCACACGATAGAGGTACTAAATATAACAGCACCACAAGCCAGTGGCATGAAATGTAACATACAGTTGTTTTAGTAAGTACAGCACCACAAGCCAGTGGCATGAAATGTAACATACAGTTGTTTTAGTAAGTACAGCACCACAAGCCAGTGGCATGAAATGTAACATACAGTTGTTTTAGTAAGTGCAGCACCACAAGCCAGTGGCATGAAATGTAACATACAGTTGTTTTAGTAAGTGCAGCACCACAAGCCAGTGGCATGAAATGTAACATACAGTTGTTTTAGTAAGGCATTGTTCAAACAGCGGTAGGCAATCTCACCTTTCTGTGTACACACTCCCAGCAGCTTGATGACATTCGGGTGATCCACTTCCTTCAGGAGCTGGAACTCTGACACAAGATCTTGATACTCCGTCCCTGACGCGTCGGCTGCAAGATTAGGTTGATGTTACTTTGAGCAGTGTGAAACGTCGTTATGTGACTTTAAGACCACAATATATATATCATCCATATATATATATATTGTGATCCATTTCCCCTGGATGACGGTCAGAAATCTATAATGACTCATTAAAGATACACGCATTCCTTCGTTTCAAACAAACAAACAAACAAACAAACAAACAAACAAACATACATTTGGATGGAAAGGATTTACTTTCAAATTCGTTAAATAGACTTCGCTTTTATTCGTGTAGTTCTTTCTGGCTGGGTGGTAAGAAAAATATCTTCGGACGGCTAATTGACCCACTTCCCGTAAACCTATAGAGGTAGAGCTTGGCACATATACTCGTTGTCGATGACAAAAGATTCTATCAAATTTTCCACCCCACCCCCTCTTCTACAAAAAACATTTTTTCCTGCTTTTCAAGGGGAAATATTATGATGACGCTGATTTCACGAGATAAAATTCCCGATCACGGCACTGCGTCCAATGAGATTCTCTCAACCAAAGACTGCCGCAGCAACTACGTCCAGTGTGCGTTATGTTCTCTTGTGTTTTTCTAAACGAATTTTGGAAATACATTTGCGGTGTAAAGGCGGGTGGGTCATAAGAATATCAATTCAGTTCAGGGGTGTGAAAAAAAATGTGTGTGTGGGGGCGGTTGGGGGGGTTGGGAGAGCACCCATTGGGGGGTGGGGGGGGGGAGTGCACCCACCAATGGCCCATTGGTGGGGGGTGGGGGTGGGAGAGCACCCATTGGTGGGGGGTGGGGGTGGGAGAGCACCCATTGGTGGGGGGTGGGGGTGGGAGAGCACCCATTGGTGGGGGGTGGGGGTGGGAGAGCACCCATTGGGGTTCATATAAAGTGCGTTACTTGTATGCATGTTTGTTCAAACTTTCAGACCCCCGCCCCCCATTGCTGGATGTTACATTTTATAACGGATTTCTACGAAACAAAACTGTGTGTTGAAAGGGTTGTTTAATTCCCTGATAAGATTCCTGGGATGTGGTTCCAATACATCAAGAGAAATAGATCTCAGCCTTGTCTCCGCTACCTTCAATTTTTAACACTTATTTTTTTATTTAAAATCTTTAAATGAATCGATTGAGGGGAAATTTATGAAGCCCAGGTCTTAGAATTGAAGTTCTTTATTTTAAAACCCCCCAAAGAGGTTCCAAGCTAGGAAAACAAAAGATGATGAATCAGTTAGACACCGCGCATTTGTTGATGAGTATGGTAAGTCAAACGAGTCAGTGTTGTACTCGTCAGTGTTGTACTCGTCAGTGTTGTACTCGTCAGTGTTGTGCTCGTCAGTGTTGTGCTCGTCAGTGTTGTGCTCGTCAGTGTTGTGCTCGTCAGTGTTGTACTCGTCAGTGTTGTACTCGTCCGGGCAGTACTCGCCAGGGCAGTACTCGCCAGGGCTGTACTCGTTAGGGCTGTACTCGTTAGGGCTGTACTCGTTAGGGCTGTACTCGTTAGGGCTGTACTCACTAGTGTTGTATTTGTCAGTTTTGTTCTTGTCTGTGTTGTTTCTGTCAGTGTTGTTCTGGTCAGTGTTGTACTCGTCAGTGTTGTAATCGTCAGTGTTGTACTTGTCAGTGTTGTTCTGGTCAGTGTTGTTCTCGTCAGAGTTGTTCTCGTCAGTGTTGTTCTCGTCAGTGTTGTTCTCGTCAGTGTTGTTCTCGTCAGTGTTGTTCTCGTCAGTGTTGTTCTCGTCAGTGTTGTTCTCGTCAGTGTTGTTCTCGTCAGCGCTGGTTTACGGGCCACACGGCTGCCGGCAAGAGTTCAAACATTGATGACGTCACCAGGACGTTCAAGAGCCCGGGGGGTGTTTGATCCGTTTCAATGGGTTCGAACTCTGCATAAGGAATTGATCGAGAAGATGGGTCGTACAACTACGGCCCGGGGGTCAGATCCGGTCCACCAGGGGTCGTGAATCCGGCCTTCCTGGCCGCCGTTAAGTGACTAGCTCGCAGCGATAAATATGGGCTTGAAAACAGATTATTTCATAAGCCAAATGCAGGCCCCCCCCCCCCTTTAAAAAACTGAAAAGTTCAGGGAGGAAATCTTTTTTTTTCAATCATTTTAAATATATAAAAAAAAACACGTTTTGTCCCCATTACATACAACATATGTGCTAAGTGCATAGAATTGACATATGTAGAGTGTACATAGAACTGAGATATCTGTGATGTATATAGAACTGAGATATGTACATTTTGTATAGAACTGAGATATGTACAGTTTGTATAGAATTGAGATATATACAGTTTGTATAGAATTGAGATATGCACAGTTTGAATAGAACTGAGATATGTACAGTTTGCATAGAACTGACATATGTACAGTTTGCATAGAACTGAGATTGTACAGTTTGCATATAACTGAGATATGTACAGCTTGTATAGAACTGAGATATGTACACTTTGCATAGAACTGAGACATGTGCAGTTTGCATAGAACTGAGATATGTACAGATTGCATAGAATTGAGATATGTACCATTTGCATAGAACTGAGATATGTACAGCTTGTATAGAACTGAGATATGTACACTTTGCATAGAACTGAGATTTGTACAGTTTGCATAGAACTGAGATTTGTACAGTTTGCATAGAACTGACAGTTTGCATAGAACTGAGATATGTACACTTTGCATAGAACTGAGATTTGTACAGTTTGCATAGAACTGAGATTTGTACAGTTTGCATAGAACTGACAGTTTGCATAGAACTGAGATATATACACTTTGCATAGAACTGAGATATGTACACTTTGCATAGAACTGAGATATGTACACTTTGCATAGAACTGAGATTTGTACAGTTTGCATAGAACTGAGATTTGTACAGTTTGCATAGAACTGAGATTTGTACAGTTTGCATAGAACTGAGATTTGTACAGTTTTGTACAGTTTGCATAGAACTGACATATGTACAGTTTGCATAGAACTGAGATTGTACAGTTTGCATATAACTGAGATATGTACAGCTTGTATAGAACTGAGATATGTACACTTTGCATAGAACTGAGATTTGTACAGTTTGCATAGAACTGAGATTTGTACAGTTTGCATAGAACTGAGATTTGTACAGTTTGCATAGAACTGAGATTTGTACAGTTTGCATAGAACTGAGATTTGTACAGTTTGCATAGAACTGACAGTTTGCATAGAACTGAGATATGTACAGTTTGCATAGAATTGAGATATGTACAGATTGCATAGAATTGAGATATGTACAGTTTGCATAGAAATCATTCAAATTTTTCAAACTATTGTGTGACCCCTGATACATTGACCCCCTGATACACTGATCCCCTGATACACTGACCCTCAGATAAAAAATGACCTTTTGATACACTGACCCCCTGATACACTGACCCCCTGATACACTGATCCCCTGATACACTGATCCCCTGATACACTGACCCACTAAGACAGGAAACAGAAAAAAACGCCAGGAAAATTAAAAACAATAATAAAAAACAACAAAAAAAAAAAAAAAACAGGAAATGCTCTGTAAACATCTGATCGGAGATGTCCGGACGTTCACTTACGTTTCAGCATCTTGACCGCCACCACCGTGTTGCCCTCTTGACCGTTCAACATGAAGGCCTGCGCGCGGACAACCTGGCCAAACTCTCCCTCTCCGATCACGTGCTCGATCGTCAGGTAGCAGCGCGGGAATTCCCACTTGTCTTCAAACTGCAAAATACGGAGCGCAAATTTAGCGGAAACACTCAAACATTTCTTTGGGAGTAAGCCGGAACAGATATTTGAGAAGAAACAATAAAATCCCTTTGGAGATAACTGAAACAAGTAACTGGCAGAAACACTAACAAAATAATTTCGGGAGAAAACCGAAAAAAATATTTGGACGGAAACAATTTAAAGAAATATTTTTTTGAAAAAAAACAACAAAAACCCGAAAAAAATATTTGGGGTGAAAATAACTTTTGTGTGTGGTTGGATGGAAACAAACCTTTCGAGATATTAAAGCAGTGTTTCTCAACCTTTTTTTGTGCCATGCCCCACCAAAGCCTTTCTAAAATTCCTATGCCCCCCATGTATCATGTATATCAATTTTAATATTCACAAATAGTGTTGTGCACTGAAGGAACTGAAATGATTTTCACAAAAAATTGTAACGAACGCTTATTTTAAACTGAGACTTAAACGATTCTCCTTTGGTGTACACTGAAATGTAAGGAGAATCGCATCAACTGAAATGTAAGGAGAATCGCATAAACTGAAATGTTAGGAGAATCGCATCAACTGAAATGTTAGGAGAATCGCATCAACTGAAATGTAAGGAGAATCGCATCAACTGAAATGTAAGGAGAATCGCATCAACTGAAATGTAAGGAGAATCGCATCAACTGAAATGTAAGGAGAATCGCATCAACTGAAATGTAAGGAGAATCGCATCAACTGAAATGTAAGGAG